AATAATAATAATAATAAAAATCATATACATTATTTAAAACAAACATTTATCAACACATTTTTAAGAAACTGCAAAACTGTACTTTACTTTTTAAAATTTATTTTATTTTATAAAATATGTCTGTTAGGGATTTTTTTTAGTAGTCTCATTTTATTATTTTTTTCACTTTAAAATTTTTAAAAAAAAATATTTTTCCAAATTATTTTTTTTTTTTTTTATTAAAAATTTTTTTTTATTCAAATTATAATTATTTAATTAAAATATCAAACAATATTAATAATAATACTAATAATTATAATAATAATAACAAAAATAATAACAATTATAATAATAACAATAACTATTGTACTGTATAATTATATTGTTATATGAGCTTAATTTAAACTAACAACACTTGTAAAATAACGATATAGTTTCCCCTTTTATTTTATTATTTTTTTTAATAATTTAATTAGTGGTTTAATAATAATTAAAATAATAATAATAAAAAATAGTAATAAAAATTTATATAATTATTTTCATTTTTTTAGTACTGTGTTTTGTGTGTGGGGTGTATGTGTGTCTTTTTTTTTCTTTTTTTTTATTTTTTTTCTTTTTTTTTTTTTTTTTTTTAAATTTAATAATTTTTATCTTTTGTTTTTTTTTTTTTTTTTTTTTTTTTTTTTTTTTTTTTTTTTTTTTTTTTGCTCTACATTATAACCCATATTATTTAATCATATACATTTGTATTTTTAATAAAAAAAAAAATAAAAAAATAAATTTAATATTAACATATTATAATTTTTACCTTTTTTTAATATTTTTTCCTTTAGGAGAAACAATTAAAACAATTTCTTTTTAAGTAAAAAATATAAAAAAAAAAAAATCATAATTTATATATCAAAAAAAAAATATATAAATATTATTTTTTAAAAAAAAAAATTAAAAAAAAAATAATAAAAATAATAAAATATAATTAAAAAATAACAAATTAAATAATATATAATAAATGAAAATGGAGGCCTTTTCATGTTTTGGTGTTAGGAATAAAAAGAAATCAGTTTTATTGAAACAAATGCAAGCAGAAGAGAGAGAGGCGCAACTAAATAGAAATTATTTTAATTTATTATCTACCGAATTAATTCTTTATATATTAAAGTTTATGACAACTTATGATTTATGTATCCTTGCAAGAATTTCAAAAAGATTTAGAGAATGCTGTTATGATAGTACATTGTGGAGAACATTAGGATTCAATGCTGCAATGGTAAAGAAAAAGATTGACTCAGCTTTAAAGAATATGGAGTTAACATCAAGATTATCATCAGTTAGGCTAATAAATTTAAACAATATCAATATAAAACAAAAAACAATTGATTACATTGTAACTCATACACCACAACTAAAGGAGATTAGACTTCATAACCTTAGATTAACCGAAAAAACCTCTAAGTTATTAGTTGCAAAATGTCCAAATCTTGAACAAGTCTATATGGATGGTGGCAGAACTAGTGATGAATGTTTAGAACTATTGGCAAATGGTGCTGTAAAATTAAAATCTATCAACCTTCACAAAGTTGAAAATATTACAACCACTGGTATTTGTCATATTATTAAAAATACAAATCTTAGTTTTCTTAATTTTAATGGTATTTCAGGCTGGGATATTAGGTATTGTAGAAAAAATATTTAATTTAAATTTATAAAAAATGGCTATTTATTAATATATTTATTTTATTTACTATAGAACTCTTGCCCCATATTGTGCACATTTTACATCAATGGATTTGGGATCTAGTAATAATTTATCGGATGATGATTTGAAAGCATTAACCAGACAATGTAAAAAATTAAAGTTCATCTCATTAAAGAGTTGTAAATTAATAACAGATCATGGTGTTTTAGAGCTAATTCATGATTGTCCCCAATTGATGGACTTAAATTTGGCATCATGTAGTAAAGTTACACGTACAAGTGTCCAACATGTACTTCAAAATCTTCATAATCTTACTACACTCAATCTTTCGTCCTTCAAAAATATCCATCCAATAACTTTCCCTAAGAATCCATATAGACTTTTAAATACACTCACCACTATTGATCTTTCATTCACCGATGTCAAAGATGAAGATATTTTCCAATTAACTGAGTATGCTGCAAACTTAAAAAGCTTACGTTTGGTAGCCTGTGTTGAAGTCACCGATGAATCAATGTTAATGATATCAACTCATTGTAAGAAATTGTTTAATGTTGATTTATCTCGTGATCAACAACAAGGTTCATCAAACTATTCCACAAGCAAAGGTCCAATGAAAATTACTTTTGCGACTGTCGAAGCATTGTTTTTAACTTGTCACGACCTTCAAAAAGTTGCCCTCTCTTATTCAAGCAAAAATAATATAACAAAGAGAAGTGTAATGGAAGTTCATGATCGTAGAATCTCTTCTGGACTAAAAAATATTAATTTCACTTTAAACGAAGAATCTGTTACCGGAATTATTAGTAGTAATACAGGTATCAATAACAGTCTTATTAATCATGGTAGTAATAATCTTATTAATAATAATAATAATTATAATAATAACAATAATAATAACAATAACAATAATAATAACAATATTAATAATAATAACAATAATAGTAATTATAATCCACCAATTCCAATCCCATTAAATAACAATAACAGTAGTAATAGCAATAATAATATAAACAACCCAAATTTCTATAACCCAATTATGCCAAATAATAATATTCCGATCACAACAAATATTCCTTGAAAAAAACCCAAATGTTATAATATAAATTTCAACAACGCCTATATTAAAAATTAGAATAATCCTTAAATATAAATTATTTTTTCTTTCAAAATATCAAATTGTTATTTTTTTTTTAATAAAAAAAAAAATTTCATTATAAAGGTCATTTAATAACCAATAACCTTCTCATTATTTAAAACTGTAATTCCAAAAAAAATAAAAAAAAATAAAAAAAAAAATTAAAAAATAAAATAAAAACAAACAACCAAAACATTAATTTTTCGTTTTGCAAGTAAAGATATAAGTGAGATTTTCAATAAATAATAAACAATAGGTTACCAATAATATTTCTCATAAATTAAAGGATTGATTTTCTTCTTTTTTAAAAAATTTTATTTGTTTTTTTTTTTTTTTTTTTTTTACCACTGTAGTTAAATATTATGTTAAAAATGATTACTATTTTTTTTTTTTTATACGTTGGTTATTAAATTTATTTAAAACCAAAATATTACTATGAAGATATATGGAAGTGTTTGATTTTAAATTGATTATTTAAATGAGATAAATGTGAGTGCAGTTGATAAAACAGCAACAACAGCTAAAAGAATTTTACCGGAAGTTTCAACTTGTGGAACAGTAATACCTTTGACAGTTTCATCCCAAAACTAAAAATAAAAGTAAACCATAAAATACAAATAATTAGTTTAAAGATGACCTTCTAATATTATTATTATTATTATTATTACTATTATTATTATTATTATTATTATTATTATTATTATTATTATTATTATTATTATTATTATTATTATTATTATTATTATTATTATTATTATTATTATTATTATTATTATTATTATTATTATTATTATTATTATTATTATTATTATTATTATTATTATTATTATTATTATTATTATTATTATTATTATTATTATTAATACTAAAAATGATGTGCTATATGGTGACTTACAATATGTCTGACACCAGTACAGAAATGGTAAGTTAATGGTAATGCAACAGCAAATTTAGCTGGATAAACCAATGCTGGATATTGAGTTTGAAGCATTTCGATGTAGTAAATTGCATCATGTGGTGCAAAAAGAGTAACACCTGCAAGACCAGCAACACCTATATAATATAGAATGCATTATTAATAACATTATTATTAAAAGGAAGAAAAAAAAAAGAAAAAAAGAGGGTGGAACAGAAAAGAAATCAAACAATAATAAACCATAATTTTTATCTCTTTTAATCCAATGTATACCAAAATTAAACTATATGTCCCTCTGGTTATGTTTTTTTTTTTTCCAAAGGAGGTATTTAAAGAAATCTTTTTTTTATCTTTTTTTTTCTTCTTTCTCAATAAATTTGTCTTATATTTTATATAGTGAAAGTATTATCGTAATTTGAGTGCAATTTTCTTACCTAAACCTAAACAAATACCAGTAGCACGATGCATAATTGACATAACAGCTGGTAATGGGAATTTATATATGGTGAGATGTGGTGAGGTTGGTTGATGTGGGGTTCTAAGTTCATCAATTCTTTTTTCGGTGATGGTAAATGGTTTGTTGGTTTGAGTTGAGTATGATGAAGTGGCATTGGATGCATTTACGTGTTGGGTTGGTGCAATAATGCTGGTTTTAGAGCTAAGAGCATTGCTTACAACAAACTTATCAAAATTTTTGAAAAGTGGTGCATTTCTATATGTGAATGTATTTAAAGTTCTTCCAAACATCTTTTAGTGATTTCTTTAATATGTCAGAGAATGACCTTTTGTTTAATGTATAATATGAAAAAAATAAAAAATTTTAAAAAAAAAATAAAAAATTTTTTGTTCAAAAAAATTCAAAAAAAAAAAATAAAAAAATAAAAAAAAATAAAATAAAAATAAAAATAAAAAAATAAAAAATAAATAAAATAACAATGTCAAATAAAAAATGATTGAAATTCAACTAAACAAAGGCAAATAAAAAACAAAAGACACAAATTTAAACATGTTTTAATTTTTTTTTTTTTTTTAAAAATGTAATTTAATATTTTATTTTATTTTTTTTTTTTAAAAAAAGAGTTTTTTTTTTTTTTAATTTTTTTTCTCAAAAACAAATAGATTTGGTATCTCATTTCAAAATATAAAACCTAAATAAACTCTATTTAATTGTTTTAGAAAAAAAAAAAAAAAAGAACAATGTTAGAATATTTTTTTTTCTTTTTTAATTTTTTTTTATTTTGAATAAAAAAATTTAGGTGGTATAATATATTGTCAGGTAAATGGAAAAATCTTATAATCATTTTTTTTTTCATGTTAAAGGAATTGACATGAGATTTTTTTGTATCATCATTGAAATATATTTACTGCCACTAAAATTTTTATATTAATTTTTTTTTTTTTGTACGTACCAATACGAAAAGAATAAAAAATTTTGTGATGCCTCAAAGCGTTGGATGAATATAAAAAATGAAAAAAAAAAAAAAAAAAATAAACTATCAAAAAAAAAAAACTTTTTTTTTAAAAAAAAAGTAAATTTTAAAAAAAAATAATATTTTTTTTTTTTTAAAAAAGTTACGTGACTTCTTTATAAAAAAAAAAAAACAATAACAAAATTAAATAATTTAATACTTTTGAGGACTTTTTTGGTAAAAAAAAAAAAATTTTTATAAAAAAAAAAAATTGATTTATTAGAGGTTGTATTTACATGTTACAGATTTTTAATTTGAAGCATTTTTAGAATTTTCAACTTTGATTGTAATATCTAAAAGATTTTGAATTGCTAAAGGCATATTGTTATCAGTTGATAATAAAACGTATCTAATGACTTCATCAGATGTATTAGGGAATAGTTCTTTTAATTGTCTAGCTGATCTTTCCTCTGGTCTTGTCTTCATTAAACCTGGAGTTGAATTTTGATCAACAAAGAATGGATTTGTTGAAAATGGAGTGATTGTAGTAGAATTACAGAAAGGATCTAAATTTTGAAATGGTTGTGGGGTTGTTATTTTTGATGGTTTATTATCATTATTATTATTACCAAACAATGAGGAGTTATAATCTGGTGGTGAGAAAGATGGAGGGAATGATGATGTATTTGTTGTTGTTGTTGTTGTTGGGAAATTATTAAAATATCTTGGTTGTGGTTGCACCATTGGTTGTGGTACTGGAACATAAATTGTTTTAATTTGTGGTGGTGGTGGTGGTGGTTGATCAACAACATTGAGATGATCAAAATCCTTTAAAACATCTTGAAACAATTTAGATTGAGCCAATTGTCTTTTTTGTTCTGGTGAGGAATATTTAATTTCCAAGAGGAGATCATTAACTCTTTTTTTATTTCTTTCATGTCTTTCATATTCATCACGTTCACGTTGACGTTGTAAACGATCCTCTTCATCCAATCTTTGTTGTCTTTTTTGTCTTTCACGATATTGTTCTTGATCGACTTCTCTCATGAAATAATTGATTGTTGACTCTACATTGTTACGATTGTCATAGAGTACACGTTTAATTTGATGATCTGAGAATTTACTACCAAAGATATCTCTAACTTGTGCAACTAATCTTAAATCTCTTTCACGTTCTCTTTGTTCATGTTCTTTCTTTATACGATTCTCTTCTAATCTTCTCTCAATTTGATATTGTTCAGCTTCTAAATATTCATGTCTTCTTTGAAGATTAATAATTGATGAATCTAAACTCCAATTATTTCTTTCTAATGTTGAATATAAGAAATGGTCTCTTGACTTTTATTTTTTTTGAAAAAAAAAAAAAAAAAATTAATATTTTTGGTTAAAGGTTTGGATGAAATTAATAAATTATTTTAAAAAACATACGAGCAATGGAAACATTGAGAGAACTTGATTGATTTTTTGTTCTTTTTCATATGGAGAGATTTTCATTTCTTCTTTTTTGTTAAAAAAAAACATTTAATTTTTTTTTTTTTTTTTTTTTTTTTTTTAAAAAATTGTAAATAGTTATTAAAAATAAAATTGAAATATAAAAATAATACAAATAATAATACAAATAACAAATATATAAAAAAAGGATGAGGAGAGAAAATAAGAAAAAAAAAAACACACAAAATTTAAATATTTTTGATTTCCCAAAATTTTCTTTTTTTTTTTTTTTAAATTCAGCGAAAAAAATAATTTGATAATAAAACACAGAAAATATCCTATTAACAGATGTTTTTTATATTTTTATCATTCCTTATTCCAATAAAAAATTTATTTGACAAGAAATAATATAATGTATTCATTTTGTAATACAATTTATAATATTATTTAAAATCTATTTTATATATTATCATTTTATTATAAATTGTAAAAAAAAAAAAAAAAACAAAAAAAAAAAAAAAAACAAAAAAAAAGTGTGAATTTTTATTTTTTTTAGCTTTAATATAACCAAAAAAGCCCAATACTAATTCTCAACAATCTTGGAAATAAACTCAAAATCTAAAAGTTATAACTTTTTTTATTTTTTTTTATTTTTATTTTTTTTTTTTTTATTTTTTTTTATTTTTTTTTATTTTTTTTTGTTTTTTTATATTTTTTTTATTTTTTTTTATATTTTTTTTTTTTTTTTTTTTTTTAATTTTCAATAAATGAATTAATTATTATCATTTCTCTCGTATACTTATATAAAGATGGAAAATAACAAAGAGAATACATTGAATGGAATTATACCAAAACCAAAAATAAGAGTTGTTAAAAAAGTTATTAGAAAGAAACCAGTGCAATCTGACAATGGTGATACCCCGACCAATAAATTAAATGAACAACTTTCAAACTTAAAATTAGATAATAACACTACCACTACCACTACCACTACCACTACCACTTCCGATACCACGACAAATACACCCGATAATAAAGCAAATGTTCAAAAAAAATCTGATATATTAAAAAAATCAATCAAAGAAAAGATTCACTATGATAAATTAACATACAATGCTCAAATGTTATTGATTGAAGATGAAACAACTGAAAATGAATTAAAAACTAATTATGTATGTAATAATAATAATAATAATAATAATAATAATAATAATAATAATAATAATAATAATAATAATAATAATAATAATAATAATAATAATAATAATAATAATAATAATAATAATAATAATAATAATAATAATAATAGTATAAAGTATACATTTACACAATATAAATGGATGAATTTGATAAATTAATATATACAATATATACACGCATATAGTATAATTTATTTCAACCAGATCATTATAAAGATGTAGTTGCAGAGAGATCATCGTCAGGAAAATGTGGATATCCGTGTTGTAATAAAGCATTGGGAGGAAAGAAATTGACTCAAAAATATTTAATTTCGATTAAAGAGCAAAAAGTATACAATGTTGAAGAATTATCAATGTTTTGTTCGTCCGATTGTTTAGTTAAATCAAAACTTTACGCATCAACATTAGATGAAACCGCCGTTTATTTGAGAAATGTTGAAAGTAAAAAAATTTTACCAACTCAAGATACTTTATTAATACAACCACAATCACAATCACAATTACAATCACAATCACAATCACAATCACAATCACAATCACAATCACAATCACAATCACAATCACAATCACAATCACAATCACAATCACAACAACCAAAATCAACAGCTCAACCGATTGAATTCTTAAATAAATTCGAGTATGTATACCGTAAACACACAGATACATACAGATACAGATACATATGTTAAAAGTAAAAAAGAATATTATTACTAAATATACTATGAAAAAAAAAAAAACAATAGAAAATCATTAGTAATTACAGAGAACGAAAATGCAAGTTTAATACCACCAAATTTAACATTTGATAAAAATACAGATAATGAAAAAATTAAAACAGATAATAAACAACAACAACTACCAAATAAAAAAATAATAGGATCAATAAAATCAAAAACAATAACAACAAAAGCTATAAGCAAACCAAAGAAAAAGATAATTGTTACAGATGATGTAAAGGTACCGATTGTAAAAAAAGAGATTAAAATTAAGGATAGTGATGACGATGATGACTACGACAGTGATTTAGATGATTTTAGTGAAGATGAGGGTACATTGTTAGGTGATGAACAAGATGATGCGCCAATGATTTTAAATGAAGATGAAGATGAAGAAAATGAAGAAGAGGAAGAAAATTATGATGATAAAAGTGATAAAAGTGAGGATGAATTTTCATTATTCAGACCGACACCAATGTCAGGTAAAAAGATTGAGGAATTGTTTAAGCCACACATTTCAAACTATCACATGGTTTATTCTACATTGAGTCAATTTACAACAAAACATACAAATAACTATTTACAATTCAATCAAATTAATTATGAATATATATTGGAACAAAATCTACAAATTAAAACTAATCTTCATTCTCAATTATCATTAGTTTATCAGAATGTAATCGATGAATTGGGTTTCAAAATTACTACAGCTAAAGAAAAAGTTACAATCTTAATTGATACTTTTAAATTCGATAAAGCTGTACCATCTTTAAGAAGAAACCATTGGAAAATGTTAATTTTGGTATTTTTAAAATCGTATGTTTTTTTTTTTTTTTTAAAAAAAAAGAGGTTATCAAAATACAAGTAACTAATATAATTTTTTTTTATTTTCATTAAGTTTATCATCAATTGATGAAGAAATTTTAAAGGATATTCAAGATAATAGTGGTAAATTTGAAAATTTAGTAAAAGAATGTAGCTTTGATATGGAGACATTAAAAGTATTTCAAGATTTATTAATTCAAGGTTATCAATAACTACTATTTAAATAAATTATTTTCATATTAATACAAATCCATTATATTTTTATGTATCATATCCCAAATATATTCTTTTTTTTTTTTTTTTTTTTTTTTTTAGGGCAAACCTAAAAAAAATTGAAAATAATTCTTATCATATTTTGAAAATCCTTCTCTCTGAGGATAAGAAAAAAAACAAAATAATAAAAATAAAAATAAAATAAATAAATAAAAGATGATACAATTGCAAGCAATTTGAAAGATAATAATTTTGGTATTCAAGAAAAATGACCATTTCTCAGAATTTTTTATTTTTTTTTTATAATTTTTTTTTTTTTATTTTTTTGCGCTTTTTTTAATTTTTATTTTTTAAAATTATTTTGTTCAATTTAGATAACAGATGTAATAATAATAATTGTGAAACATATAAATTAAACAAAAAAACCAATAAAAAAACAAATTGAAATTATTATGTGAATTTAGTGGAATAGATTGAAATAGTACAACACATAAAAATGACTAAAAGGATATTAAATGTTGCAGAAAAACCATCTGCTGCAAAAGAGATTTCAGCCATA